GTTTAAGTTATTTACTGGTGTGATGGGTTTTCTGAATCTCACTGATTTGTAACACTATCTCCTTTGAGTCTCCAGATTTATGAGACTTCAAAGACTTCATAATTGCCCTAGCCAAGAAGAAATATAAAATTTAAAGGAGGTGAATTTGTGAATAAAAGATGTGTGTAAATATGAGATTTACCAACATTTATTTATGTATCTATGTATACTCCTATATATATATATATATATATATATATATATATATATATATATAAAACTGCCCCCCTCTCTCTCTATATATATAAAACATATATAACCTCTCCACTCTCTATTTTGTTTCCTCTAGAGAATCTTTTACAATACATTAATATATGGGCTGATCTTACTAAACCAACAAGGCAGAAGTAAACATAAAATTGAACCAAATAAATGTACAAAATTATGAGATAAAGTGTAATTGCCCTAGGCATATTTTACAATGATTTGTTACATAGATTTTTTAAGATCAATAATAGTCACTCAGATGTTTTCTAGGTCTAATTCAAAGAATCTATTATTTTAAAAAATATTACTTTACAGTATAAAATGACTTTGCAGATGAGATTAAGAAACATGAGGGAAAAAAAGATCATTAAAGTGGACCAAGGGTTATTACAACACTCTGAAGGACAACAGTATTAAAGGACACTCCATCTGAATAATGAGACCCATGGCAACAGAAATCAGGAAAAAAAGAAAAGATAAAAAGAAACCATGAGTTTAAAAATGTAGGCAGCCAATAGAAATCCCTAAAGTAAGTACGCTGGTGGCCCCTTGATTATGGTTCAGTGATGCTGACATGAGAGTGTATCTTCTGGAAGGTAGGATAATGAAAATTTGCTTTACTTTAAGCATTTTACTTCATTGTAATTTCTTACAGCAATGATATCGAACTAACATGGGCCATCTATATATAAAACAGACAAGGATAACTCTAATAAATTCCTACTGCTTTGCCATCATCTATGTGGCTGTGAAGAAGAGGAAGGTAAACAGACTAGGCGTGAAGTCTTCCAGAGGAAATTGCCTTCAAAAGTGGATACAAAGAAAATCAGGCTTGCAGGACATTGAAGGGTCTTGCTGGCTATGATGAATTGGAAAACAAAAAATAAGTAATTAATTTGCAGATATATGTAAGGAAAATTTAAATGGCATATTATGATTGATGCTTTTTAATTCTTACTTTTAGATAAAATATGTTGTTGCAAGAGAGATAAATGCTATTTAGATTCATGTTTAAATTACAGAAGTCAGAAGAACAGCTTTTTATCTAACCCTTTTACTCTCATTCTTGTCAAAAGTTTTTCAAAAATTGTAAATGACATGGGTACAGATCAAAGTTCATGTAGTGTCAACAGAACATAGTCTTGGCATGAAACATCAAATCAGATATACCATTCATTTAGACCAGGTATAAATAAAAGAAAGTATCTTGAAGATCTTCTTAGTAGACAAGTGAGATTTAAATAATTGTAAAGACTATATTCAATAACATCCCACTTATAACTCAACAAAGAATGGGAACTATCTTGAAGAGAATCCAGAAAATCACTTTGTCTTAATTTAATGCATATAAAATATTACATTGCTTTCAAAGGATTTGTATGATATTCAATGTAATGGAATTATGCTCACATAAAATAAATTTCTTGCCATTAAATACTGGCCAAGAAGCAAGTAGAAAAAAATTTTAGCTACAATCACATACCAATTAAAAGAAAAATTAGCACATCTCAAAGGATCACTGTAAGAGTCAGTGAAAACAATGGATTTAGCAATTACACTTTTGTAGAATAAATCAAACCACAAACAAGGTGACTTATCAGAACACGACTTCTTAAATTTTATACTGGTAATGAGACTTTGGACATGTTGATAATGAAATTAGTATATTTTCCAGATGGAAAAGATTGTCAAAAATTAGGAAATGGAGAACTGATTGCCACTACACTGTAACTATAGAAGTATACTGTGTGCCGTGCCTATATGCCTATTCGTGTCTCAACTTAATCAATAGTATAAGGCAAATGTAATGAAAATAGATTTTGTAAGAATTTACACATTGAGATTTGAGTTTGGAAGGTTCCCATTTAGAAGGCAGTAGCCAAATAAAGAGTACAATCTCACCACATGGTGCAAAATAATTGCCAAGTTTAATCAAATCAACATGAAAAATCATATACTGTTGAAATATTAACCTAGTGCATTTCATTTTATTATTCATCAAAAAGATAACTTTCTAGTGCAGATATTGGTGTTTAAATATGGCAGATATGGCATAATAAAATATAATTATTTGTTTTGTGAAAGACAATGAATTATTTCATAAATGCTATCTCAAGAGGTCCTTAAACAATCTGTTGAAATGAATATTACTCATTTTAGTATCATTATTTTATAGATGAGAAAACCATGGGGTATATTTTTACATCAGTTACTCAAGTCTAGATTTAGTAATAGGTGATAAAATTAGAATATGAACAACTTTATTGTAATTCCATTTCTGGGTTCTTAGCCATTTTCCAGTATTCTTCAAGTATTCCAATTCTATCTGCTTTGTATCCTCATTGTAAAAGTCTGACATCTTGTTTTCTGATAACTAAAGCCATGAGTATACGGTTTCTAAGTTGATAAAAATTTCATTTATGCTTTTATGAGACCCTTTCCACTTAGAATTGGTAAAGGATTTTTCACATAGTCAAAATAGGGCAATCTTCAATTCATTCGTGTTCATCCCTTCCTTTGGTTTCAGTTTTTGAGTCCTTAGTTAGAAGTAAATAAGATACCGCTAATCAATTCTTTAAGTGAAAACAAAATTGAAAAATTTTATAACCTATATTTAAAAATGACATCCCAAAAATAATGTCTTATTACATGCACTGCAGTTATGAGAGAGTTTAAATACTTTTGGATTGAGCATGCTGATTATCTTTTATTCTAACAATATGTTCAAGTCCATTTCTGGCCTTCACTTTTAATGACAGTAAAAGAAAAATGAAGAGAATGCAAAAGGTGGAATTTTTTTAAAATGTGGAATTTGAAAGTAAAGGGAGGCACTGGAAAACAATAGCTCATCAAGTCAATCTTTTTCAAATATGAGGTCATCTAAATAGTAGAAATATCTGCCTCTTATAGACTTTCATACTAATGAATAAATTTTGATGGGTATGAAGTAATTCTAGAATAATTTTATCTCCCTTGCCAGACAAGCAATAGATACACAAAAATGATTTAAATTAAATTTAAAATGGTATAAATAAACAAAAATGATTTAAATTATTCAAAAAAGTTAAAGGACAAAAACTTATGGCTTTTATTGAGAATGCTTATATCAAAATTAAGTTCATAAAATAAGGTCATATGTAAAAAGATTTTCATAAAACAAGTATTAATTATACTTTGATAATATACTTGCCTGTATACTGAAAATTTATTTTTAAAATCCACATGTGTAACGTTGGAACCATTTATGACATAAATTTTAGGAGACAGTGTAAAGAATATATGCATTAACTATAGTACAAGTAGAGAGAATTTTTTAGGCAAAATTTTTTTTATTAAACAGTAGAAAAAGTCACTTTGAATGAATTCTCAAAATATATTAGTCTTGATTTTGATTTATATTTTGTAATTCATTATAATTAATGTTTTCATAAGTAAAAAATACTAAAAGAATAAGCACAAGATATAAATATCCTTCTGTTCATCCTTCAAAATATACTTTATTCTAGTTTTCATTAATGTGTTTAAGTTCTTTGTAGAATTTTTAAAGAATACATTGAAAGTCACAATTTTGAAAAGTTGACATTGAGTATTAATTTTTAAAGACTATGCCATATTTTATATTCATTTTTAGAAATATGAAAATTGCTTTACAAAAGTGTATGTATATTAATTAACAGCTTCCCTTAAAAGTTTCTGGCTATATGAAGATAAATGAAATTAATTTCCACCATGAATTAGAATTTAATATATGGCTTTTGTTTAATATACTATTTGTTGAAAAACTTTTTTACTGCTTTTGTTTTTTAAACCATCACTGTTTTTTTTTTCTTTCTTTCTTTTGCTTGTTTGTTTTGGTTTTTGGTTTTTTTTTTTAAGTTTGAGGCAGTGCTCTGGTCCAAAATCGAATAGGTTTTGAGTGTTCTATTCCAAATTTTATTTTGTTCTCAAAAACTTTTTTTTAAGTAAATGATTTTGCAGATCACTTGGTTGAGGTTAAGATACACTGTATCATCAGGATGCTTGACATCTATAAATTCACAAATATTTGACATGAGAAGAAAAAAATCACATTAAAACTAAACTGTGAGGACTACCCTCCCCTCACCCCCCCAAAAAACCTTCTGATTCAGCAGGTCACTAGGATTGTTCAAAGATTAAAATTTTTAGAAACTTCCTTGGTGATGTTAGTGCTCAAGTTCAAAGGGCAGGGTCAGCATGTTGAGTGTCAGTCCTTTGACTAACCATTTATTCACTCTGTTCTTTTCACTAGACACAGAGTGGAGGCCAAAAAAGTGTGAATTAGGTTGATGAAAGGTGATAGAAAGCAGTTTCTTCTTTTAAATATCTAGAGGTATGTCTAAACTTTTTTAAAGTTAAAACTATTTGTCAGGTCATAAGTTTGTTCATTTTAGAAGTCTTATTAAAATAAACATAAAATTCAACACTTTATTAAAGTAAAAGTATTTTTACTATTAATATACAAATGATGAAGAGTGACAATTTTGATATACTGTAAGCCATACTTTCAGTGTCTCTCATAAATACAAAACTTCAACATTTGCAGTATAATTTTTACACTTTAAACATATATACACAGCATTTCATAGGGACATACTATAATGAGACTATAAAAAAGATTTCATCTTAACTAACTTAAGAATATAGAACTTAAATGAAATATATGAGTTAAAGAAAATAAGACAGTATATTTTAATTCATACTAAACACAGAATAGCACTCACATACCAAAAAAGTGATTTTTGTTAACCTTTATTTCTAAGACGTTCACCTATTTCTAAAAGGGATCAGAGGCAAAGTTTAAACCATGAACATTTCCTTGAGAGTTGGAACAGTTACATTTGTTCTCGACAGTAACATTTATTATATAATATGCATATTTTTTCTAGAATAGAAAAATCTTCTTTGTAAATTTAATCATAAATTCTATGTCTGTGAGCTTTCTTTTCTAGTTTTCACTAGGCTATCTTCTCAGTGTAAGTATTATTGGCCTCAATTTTCATATAAGCATGTTCTTACTGCCTAGTACAGCATTTCACGCAGTCATGTCATTCTTGACTGTTCAAAGTGTAGAAGCTGTTTGCCTTTTCTGTCTTTCCATTTCCTCTCAATTCTTCGTTCCTGTAATTTCCTGCCTGGTTGGTAATGATTTACCCCATCACTCATTGCTTTTTGCTTATTCTTTTCCTCAGAAGAATAAAATTAGATGTCTAAAGATATATATTTTCATATCAGAAGAAGAAAGTAAAGCTACTGTATCTGAATTTATATTTTTAATCTTTATAATTATAAATTTTTGGCAAGAACTCTGAAAATTGTAAAAAAAAAGATACCAACTAACAGATTTAAATTACTGGTAAAATCCTATAGTGAAAAATGAACTGTTTTTCTAAGAGCATTAAACATATTAAATAAATATTTACTATTATACATAATATAAAAGGCTCTGACTTTGATATGGGGCAATAATCTATAAGCATTCTTGTATAATCTTGCTAAATAGCTGCATCTACATGGGTAAAATGCAACTTTTAAAAAAGGAAGGGTGGAATCTGGAATAAAAGTGTATCTGTTCAGCAATTATTATGTTTAGATTCTTTTATAACTTTTTCATTTGCACCCAAAATTATTTCATCTTGGAACATTCTTAAGCCTATGTGTGGAATACTTTCTTGAAAGTTTTTCATTTTGTAATTGGAGTGTCTCATTTCTCTGTCTTTAGACATTTTAATTTCAGCGTATGTCAGTATACCCATATGCACTTTCAATTTGCAAGCCTATGGAAGAATGCTCCAAATGCTTAATAAGAAAGTCTACATTTTTTCTCTGTCTAGAGATAACTACTGCTAACAATCTCAATTAAAAAATATTTTCACCTTCTCCTAGTTTGTTGAATAAGCACCGAATGTGACTACGAAGAAGAACTCCAAGAGGAATTCAAATAAGAGCATTTACTTTATTTTCCATGAAAAAGACACATGGATAATTTCATAGATAATTATAATATTATATGTCAATATTTTTAAATTATGAAGTAAAGGATATTTTTCTACTACTTCAGTTGTAGATATTTTCATCTCTGACTGACTTATCATCATGAGGATGATTTATGATCCCAAATCTATTGGAACATGTTCTTCCTACTTTCCAATATCAAGTCAAAAGTATTTTAACAGGGCTAGTAAAACTATACCACTGAATTTACCTTATTTTAAAAACCCATTTGCTTTTTCTTGCAACTGTCTAACAACTCAGTTTCAACAATATCTAGATTTTATTTATTGTCTAGAAAAACAATACAGAACAAATTAAAAATATATCAGGAATATATGAAAAGAGTTTCTTTGCTATAAATGAAAATAAATTATATAGTATAATTTATTACATTTAGATTTTATATTCAAGTTAAAGTGGTTTGAATTGAGCTCACTTGCTGAATATAAACGACTATCACTGGAGTGTTGTTAGCATGAGCAATTCATGTCAATAATGGCAGTCGTATTACTTTTAGTGAAGCAGAGTGTCATGATAATTCAAAGGCACAAATACATCTTAATTACTTAAAATAAGAAGCATGAAATAAACATGTGATTACAAAATTACAATAAATTTTTGGCACTGAAATAAATAATTTGATTCATAAAATCTTTACATTTATATAAACGTTTAATTGACAGACTAAAATTCAATAGAACTTTATTGGATAAAATAGCTTTTGTAAAACTTTTTATCACTATTACTGTTAAAAATAAAGCAAAATTTAAAGAATGTTATATTGGTATTAGATGTTAATATTAATAGAGTGGCAATATACTGTACCACAAAAAATAATAAATAAATCTTTAGAAATAACAATCCTTAAATTCCTTTGCAAATCATAACATGTGTTGACACTTAATTGGTGCCAGTTTTTGAAACAAGTATGTATTAAAATTCTAATATTAGTGTCAGAGTACAGGTTCTAAATGTAGATTGTCATTATTTAATTGCACATAACTTAATAAGAAATAGCAATGTTTTCTGTGGAATCTTTGCCTCTCAGTTTAACATAGGGTTCAGATTATCTTAACAGTACTTATAGTCAGTGAACTTATGACATTTTATACTAACATTTAAGAGTTTTCTCAGACAGTAAAATCATATACACAGTTATATTGATGTATTTAGTTTAGAATATTAACAGAAAATAAGACATAAAGTACTTCAGTTTTTCAATTTACTACAAGCCAGTTCTTATTTGGAAATTTTTACAAATAGTGTAATCTGGAGCATTCCATTAAAAGGTTAAAATAAAAAAGATTTATCACAGTAATGCCTTGCTCCTGCGTGGCACAGATTTCAAGGACAAGAGGTAAGGATTGCTCGAAGAACTGAAACAATACACTTGAAACAGTCTGTTTACAATTATTTCCAAATTATCTATTAATTTCAGGTAATTACTCCATATGAGTGGCAAGAAATTTAACAGCAATATACATATATATATATAAGGAAATATCTCCATCAAGTACTTTACATAGAAAATCCAATGAATGTGAAAACAGAATATTCAAATTGAGAAAACACAAAAATAACTTTCCTTTATTATGATTTCTGTATTTTTGCAATGTAGCACAAGTATAACAACAGTAAACATGCAAAATTGTCTTTTTGTCATCGGAATTCTTTCAATATCATTAGTTGAAATCCATGTGGCCCTATGCAGGAAATATTAGCCCTCATGGTCATTGCTTCATAGACACTTTACAAAATTGTTCACTTTGCACAAACTAATTCCAATATTTTAAAAGTTTTAGCACATTGATACAAAACAAACAAAACAAAGCATAACAAAATAAAACAAAACAGATGATTAGACAGACATAAACTAAATACAGTCAAATCTATGAGAAACCAGTTAGACAATCAAGCAGGTGAAAATGACCTAGCCAGTTTGTTTGTTCAGATACTGTTCAGACTCCTAGATAGGCACAAGAATTTTATGCCAAAAAAGTAGAATGGAGAGATTCCTGCATTATCACCCTGAAGCATATGGTAATGACGTTGTGAGATTTTTCTGTCTTAACATGCAGATGGGCTTATTCTTCCTGCTGATGGTCAGCACAGTGTAGGATAAAATTACTTACTGCTCTCTCCTTGGCTGACAGTTTCAAGCACTTGGTAAATAAAAGTATTTATAGCTGGCATTAGCATTTTATTCATCAAATTATAGAGAAAAATTCTCAAAACAGGTCCCTCTACACTATAAATTTCTCTGATGTTCTATTGGAATATATTCTCAATCATCAATATTTGAACTGTTCAGCCAAAAACTGAAACACTAAAGGTTATTAATATAATGAGACCCCCAAATACCTTTGGAGGTCTAGGTTAAGAAATAATCAACAACCTTCTCACAAAAGATATGTATATTTATAGTCATAAGCATATTTTACTTTCATATAAGTTATACCACATCTCAATGTTTTACCCCTGGGAGATTGCATAGCTTGGAAGTTAATAACCATAGACCCTAATAAATGATACCAGAAAGTGTGTTGAACAGTTAAGGAATTTCTTCAACTGAAGGTGCTTATCAAACATTTTAAAATGGTTTCCAGCTACAATAATCAAATAAAAACAATTCTATTATTTATAATGGACAGTTGATGACATATTTAAATGTTACATAATTGCTCTTTATTTAACTAAATTTAGATTTTTTAATTTTCCATTATCCAGTTTCAATTAATGAAGAAACTACAAAATTAAAAAAAAATTGGTTCTAAAGTTTTACCTAAACCTGTGCACTAAAAATGCATCTGAGAATATTATCTGAAATATTTGAACAGTAAAGACTTGACTTTTGGAAATCATTTTAAAAATAAAAGAAAATCATGTATTTATAAATATATCAAGACAACATAATAATATTTTTCCCATTTCAATTTACTTTATTTGAAGCTGAGGGCAGAAGTCAGTATAATTTTCACTAGCAATACATTTAGTTTTTGTATATTCCACTGTGAATGAAATGGCATAAATAAAGAGATATAGAGATTTATATTTCTAATCTAATTTTATACATAACTATATCTTTTAAAGAAGTAAAAATTTTGATCTGGTACTTCAGTCTACCAAAAAATCGATGTTGAAAATGTACTGAAAAGAGTTCTCCAAAGTTTCCTCAACTTTTAATATCTGCAAAAGATAATTGGCTTCTTTAAGCCTGGGTTCCCTGAAATTCTCCTGATAAAAAGTATAATATTTATTATCTACCTTCATTTTAAGGTGAAAGCCACTTTAATAACCTATTGCCCAAATTAAATTTCATATACATGCAGGGCTCTCTTACATGTTCAGCTTACAAAGCTTTTGCTTTTTCATTATACCCTCATATGTCAGAGAGTTTGAAATATATTTCTTGATGGTATATGAGACAAAGTTCTTAAGAAATAGAGCACTCTAGCCATATGACAAATTACAGCACTTAATTGAATCAATACACAAGAGCTGGTGCCAGTCAAGTCTCTGTACTGAAATTCTTAACAAGTGAACAATCACAACAATGACAACAAAAGAAAATGCATTATGGGCAGGAGTATGTGATTATATGTATATGTGTACAAGCTATTCCAAGCTAAAAGTTTCCCAAGAAATTAAGGTCAGTGGAATAGTTTTGGTCGTAGGGTCACTGCAATCCAGATGCCCTTGTAATGATGATTGAGCTCCCGTGACATTGTGTTATGCTTTGCCATCATCTTCTTTTGATTGAATGATGTCATTAGAAACTTTAATTTCTATAGTTTCAGGATTTAGAACTTCTTTCCCATTTTCTTCTTTTAAAGGCAGTTTTCTGGAAAGATAAAAAAAAAGTTTCCATTTGTGACAAATGATTATATGTGTATATATATATATATATATATATATATATATATAATTTAACATTTAATTTATTGTTTTGTAGCAAAATATACTGCAACCACGAAAGGGAAAAATATTGAAGTATTATAAAATTAAGACCACAGTAACTGAAAAGGCAATAAACATTAACATTGCTTATTGTGAAAATGTAATGCAAAGCATTACAGATGTATTATGCAATGTATTTGCATGTTTATATGAACCAGGTTATTCATATTGAGTAGCTTGAATGTAAAAACTAACAAGTACTAAAATATAATTATTCTGGATTATAAAAACTAAAATCTTTTTATATGACAAATACAAAATTTTTAGTTTTCAGTTTTTTCAAGGAAAATGGTTTTAATAGTTGCTTGCATATATTGTTACATAAAATTTAAAAGCTGTGAATTAGCAAATATTTGTAATCTAACACAGACTAATATATTTTAGAATATACATTTTTATATTTATGATATAATATTCTTTGGTGGATTTTCACTGCTAGTTTTTCTTCACACTTGTGTATTACTTCTGAGTATTTCTTTTGACTTGTAACCTATAAAGTAATAGGAACCTTTATTAGTATTAAGCTAGCTTCACAAATGTTTACCTTAATGATATCAATAAGCACTGAGTAAAGATTTCTGGTTTTTTATCTATCATTTTAACCCTCATTAAGTTATGTTCACATCTTGTCTACATGATTATTGGCATAAGGTGAAAGATCTTCCTTTGAGATAATATTTTTTAATCACCATTAAGAATTTATTTTTTTACAAAAATGCTTTAATTCACTTCTGCCTTTAGTCTGATCATTTTGTGCATAGTGAATGTTGCTATTGTCCTTATTTGTAACTTATTTTATACTTTTAATAAGAAATATAAATAGTTTCATTGTACCATAAAACAATGCTCATGTATGTCATAATTATATACTGCAAACATGAACTAATAAAAATTAAAAGTTTTTTAAAAGGATGTTCTGGATAAAAATTAGTAAGATTAATTATTTGGAATAAAGGGGTATCTATATCTATTAGAGGAAGCTCTATTATGTCTTGCAAATAGAGCATTCACACTTCTTTTTCTCTTCTATTCTAGTGTGTTGAAATCATGGGTAGTGAAGGATTATGAAACAAATTTGTCATCTCTAGTACCCACAGTACAGAAGTTTTGAGCTCCGATAGGAGGTTAAACATAACATAAATATCACATTGTTACTACTGTGTGAGAAGTTACAGGTATAAATAAGGAACAAAATAGAAGCTATATATATATATGAAAGCAGAATGAATTTTATCAAATGAGAACAAAAACAAGAAATGGAGGGAGGGGAGAGGCAAGAAAGGGAAATGGATTTAAGGAAAAATAAAGAATTAAAGGAAGAAAATAGAAATAAAGTTTCTGTAAGTGGAGAAAGAAAGAGGGTTGGAGGATGGGAGAAAAAAAGGACAAAGCAAAGAACTAAAATGTGTTATGTGTATGTTCAGATTCTCCCACAATGAGTATTAATAATTATGTATACAAACATGTGCTAATAAAAAAGAAAGTGAAAAATATAGCACATACTATGTATCTTACTCATAGAACTATAGATTGAATTTTAATGGGCCATTTGAACTAATAATTGAATGATATATTTCTGATTCAGAAATTTTCACAACTTATGTTAAATAATTTTTAAGGCAGTTACTATTAATTAAATTTTTGTGTTACTTCTTTTAAGTAATTAAGGCCTGGAGTAAACACTAAGGCAAAAGCAGTGATACGACTATTTTTTTTTTATATAACTGGGTATTTTTCAAAGATTTCCATACACACCTTATAACTTTGCAAGTGTTAATTAGTAGGAATTAGGTTTTTTGTCTAATATTTTGCTTCAGTAAAAAGACTTCTGATATCTAAGCAATCATAGAGTCTGGCTATAAAAGAGTAAACACCAAGTGACAATTCAGTAAACTCCAAATTCAATTAATAAAAGTGGTGAGACATTTGTACTGAAATATTGTCTACAGAGCAGTACTTTGTGCTTATTTATGTATTGTTTCAGCCATTGAGAGCAGATGGAATTTCTAAAAAAAATTAATTTTTCTTCAGTTGTGAGAACACCTAGCCTATGATTGGTGATAAAATTCCTAATTCAAATTAACAGTGGAAGGGAACGCTGTCTGATTGAGAAAAAGGAGATACTTGTTTGGAAAAACAATAAAATTTTAAAATTTAAAAATTTATTTTGAAGAGGGATACAAGGTGATTATCATGGTTTTGTTGGCATCAAGCACATTCACTGCAATACTATTACTTCTTAGTAGTATCTCTAGTTTAAATAATTTTAATATTCATATGCATGAATCTAGGCATATGTTAACCTTTACAGGTTTAGTTGGATGCAATCTACTGTTATGACAGAGCAATGAATGCTACAAACATAAATAAATAACATGGTTGTGAATGGAAACTACTGCACAAATGTTAAAATGATAGACCATTTAGTAATATTTCTTCATTTTCTTTATGGACTTTTAAAATTTAATAGTCTTGGACATATTTCATTGTCATATATTCAAAATGAAGAGTTATTTTCTGATCTACCATTATTTTGGTAAAAATACATTTTGAAATAATCACTTTTCTAAATAGCATGATTTGTGTTAGAACAATTTATATTTTGACATGTTTGAATGAAATTATAAGTATATAATTCAATAGTTGAATTTCTGTGATATTGCTACAAAGTATTCATGTGAAAAATATTTCAACAGAAATAAATTTTTGACATCCACAGATACTTTCATTAAGAAATAAACAGTATAATTCTTTAATAAATGATGCTAGCATTTGTAAGTGCATATTACAAATAAAATCCGTATGTCATCACTCCACTCATATTTATCCAAACACAAGTAAGCAGAGCAAGACACATACTCAGGTTCTGTTAGTGGTGTAGTTTCATTTGGTTCATTTACTGGACTTCCATCTTCATGATTAGTAATTCTTTCATCCTCTGTTCTCATCTCCACTATTGGTTCTTTTGAACCATCTTTCCTAGATATGGAAAGAAAAAAATCTTTTATAATGAAAAGTTGGATGCTTTACAAAAAAACCCTAAAATATCCACTTAATTTTACGTTCCTTCAACTAAAACTAACACGATTGTATTCACCATAATGTAACATTTTAATATTATAAGTAATTTTACTATATATATTAACTCAGATTAAATAAATCTCATCTTGACCTCTTTTGTCATCAAGGTTGCCTTAAATTTTGCAAAAGAACTTTACATTTTAAGTTATTACTGTCACTTTTGAAGAATAAAAAAATATATTATATAAAATTTAAAACATGAAATAGATTCTCCCCAATGAATCACATTCTAAGACATTGACAAATCTAAAATGCATTATCAGAAATACTGATTCTAATTAAAACTTAAAATTTACATGCAAGCCATCTTGTTAAATAACATTTTATACAATACTCACATTTTTCAAGAAAACAGGTTAGATAAACTCATTGAAAAGTTCCTATATACAGTTTCATCTACCAATTCATATTTAAATATATTTATGTATTTGAATATATGAATATTTTCATAATTAGTGAAAATTCGAAAGCTAATTGCAAATGGATAAGCTCTAAAAATTAAGCAAAAAAGAGACTAACAAGAAGTCTCAGAATGATGATAAATGATGAAAGTAGATGAGAATCTTGTGACTTATGAGCTTCTAATACAGTTTCAAATATAAGAAGTAATAAAAGAATAGGAGATGGGGAATTTATTCTATCCAGGCAAACCATCTCTACACAGCAAAATGATTTGACAATTTACATACATACAAATATCAGAACATTAATGTTTATGAAGCATGTATTCATAATTGTATCATATTGGAGACAACCAAGACTTCTTCTAATTAATGAATGCATAAATAAACTCCATATATATATATATACAATTAGAAATGATCAATCAATTCATGGGAAGATATAAAAGAACATAACAAAATAAAGTTGGAAAACATTTGATTCTGTGTAATTCCAATTATACAACATTCTGATAAAAAAATAACAAAAAAAAATTAAAAAGTCACTGTTTGCCAAGATGTAAAGGAAGATACATATGAATAGATAGAATATAGGGACCATTAAAGGCACTGAAACTGTTATTTGATACCTAATTCTTGATAAGTGACATTGAAATTAATGCCTAAACAGCATATAAACTAAGATTACCATATAACAAAAGAGCAAAGAAAAAGTCCTAGAGATAAGAGATCTTACAAATACTGAGATATAAAGGATGATAGTATCCTTTTGATCAGCAGCAGAATTGATAATTTTGTTCATATCTGGGCATATAACATACATCTACAACAATGTGTGAAGCATTGGTGTTGGTAAAGATATGAAAAACCATATGTAAATAATCAATTTGTTTACAAAATACATGTATATTCAGATTATCTACCTATTCTTGTATGATTTTTCAAGTACTAAGTAATCAAAGTATGATGTGTTCTTCAAGTACTAAGTAATCTAATTGGTGGATACAGATATATTCACTGTATGCCTTTATTAATAGTTGAAAGCTGCCCCATCTTTTATTTCACTTTTTAAATTGTTTTTGACTAGTTCATGTTTACAGTGCACAGTGACTGCATCCATTATGAGAAGTTTGTAAATGGACAGGATACATTCTAATTACGCTTACACCCACTTCTCCTCCCTACCTTCCTTTCTTCATCTATCTCTTGCTCCATTCCTACTTGAAAAAGATCAACCTCATTGCTCCCTATTATCCAACTTTTTTTCCCCACTCTTTAAGTTATTTATACTTTGGGTTTCTCATTAGGAGATACCATGGGATATTTAAGCTTGTTGTCTGATTTATTTAACTTAATATTATAGTGTCCAGGTGCATCCCTTTTCCTAAAAGTAACTGAAATCTATCTTTATTTAAAGAAGATCAACACTACACTGTGTATAAATACACATTCTTTACCCATTCTTCTGTTGATAGAGATGTGTTATAGTCCACTTTCAATATTTAGCTATTAGGAGTTACACTGCTATAAACATGGCTGTTGGAGACCACTACAAAGACATTTGGCTCCAGCCCCAATTAAGTAGATATAGTCTATAACTGCAGGCATCTCACTCTGCAGACTCATTCAGCCATTAGTGTCATGGAGATAAGATGATTCTCCTAAATTGGCATAATTTACTACTTGGAGAAGTCTTTGAAGTGACTCCCAAGGTCCTGCTCATTTCCTTTGCTTTCCTCAGTATCCCTGCTCTTTGTTTGAAAATGCCATAAATATGGGTGGCCTAGAGAAGCTCTTGTCTTAGCCATCATCTTAGCCACAAAATCAAGAACTCTGCAGAGGGTTTTGATCCTCCTGGAGTCCTAAAGTCATAGTACTACTTATCTCATTTATTTTAGCCTTCACTGTACACTCATTTGGGAGATTGGGGCTTTAGGCCAGGTCCCTGATACCTGGGTATATATGTTTCATTGTATATTTAATTCTTTTGGGACAATATTTAGAAGAGGCAAAGCAGAAGTGTCATGGTTTACGTTGGTGGTCCCTAGGCTTCATGCATTTGCATTGTGCATTTGTGATTGGTTCATTGTCTAGCACTTGGATTGGGGTGAGTGCTACACTGGCCTAGGGGTGGAGCCAGGATGTAATGTAATGGCAGGAAGAAGGTGTGTCTCACTCTTTTGCCAGTTTCTGCCTTGCTGTTTGCAGCCGCCATGAACAGCGGCCCAGCTATGCCGCCCTGCCTTGGAGCCAACTGAGTATGGACTGAAACCTCCAAAAACAGTAAGAATCAAGCCGCCTTTCCTTTCCCAGCTTTGGGCTTCAGGTATTTTGTCTCAGCAATGAGTAAAAAGTAACTAAGACAAGAAGGAAATACAATTTCTACTTTTAATTTATTGAGCAATATTTATATATTTCTATAGTGACTCTACTAGTTTACAATTCTACAAAAAATGTGGAAGAGTTCATTTTCCCCAATATCTTCACTAGTTTTTTTTTTTTTTTTAACAGCCCACTTTTTAATTGGGTCTTTTATTTTTTGTTGAGGACTCTGATTTTTTCCTTTATATATTCTATATATTAATCTTCTGTCTGAGGAACAGATGGCAAAAATTTATTCTCATTCAGTAGGCTCTGTTTTTACTTATTTCCTTTGTTGTGCAAAAGCTTTTTAATTTAATATGCTCCTAATGTAGATTCCCAATGTTATCTGTCATATACCTAGGGTTTTATTCACAAAGACATGCCTGTATTATCAAGATTTTATCTATTTTACCATGTTTCTAGATTCAGTCTTCAGCAAGATTTGTTACAGAGACCATTTTTCCTCTAATGTACGTTTTTGACTACTTTGTCAACGATCAGATGGTCAAGGTGCCCAGGATTGTTTATGCATCCTCTATTCTATATCCTGCTCAGATGACCTACAAGTGTGTTTTTGTGGTAGTATGTTGAGTTGTTTTGTTCACTGATATCACTGTACTTTTGTAAATACAACTCAAAAACTGGTATTTTGGCTTTTGATACCTCCTGCTTTGGTCTTGTTGCCAAGGAATATTATTGTTATTCTGGCTGTGTTCCATTTTTATGTAAGTTTTAAAATGGTTTCCTCTAGTTCTGTAAGGGACGTTTGTATTTTGATTGGGATTATATTAAATCACTTTGGGAACATGATCATTTGCTTATTTAGGAAAAAGTGATAGCTTTACATTTTTTGGCATCCCTTTAAACTCCTTCTTCAGAATACTGCAGTTTTCATTGTAGAAACCTTTCACCTCCTTTGTTGAGTTAATTTCTAAGTATTTAATTTTTCTTGAAGCTACCTAAATGGTATTTTTTTCTTAATTTCTTTATGTTGTACAGGAATGTTATACAATTTTGCATGTTGGCTTTGTAGCCTGACACATTATTGAATTTGGTGATTAATTATATGAGTCATTTGGTAGATTTTTGTGTGTTTTGTATCAAAAGTACCATGTCCTTTGTAAATAATAATCTGATTTCTTCCTTTTCCATATGTATTCCTTTTATGTCTCCTTTTGTCTGATTTCTCTGGCTAATGCTATATTTTACTGGCATTGTCATTTAATTTTAGGAAACAATTTTTTCCTTGGTTTCTTTTGTGACCAGTTGATTACCTAACAGCACATTGTTTAATCTCTTTGTGTTTGCATTATGTCTGTGGTTTTGTTTCCAATTGATTTCTAGTTTTATTGATTTATCACTTGCACAATTTTGATTCTATTTATTTAAGCATGTTTTATGAGCTATTATGTGATTTATCTTGGGAAAATTTCCATATGTTGGTAATAATAATGTATATAATATGTTTTGTTGTTGTATGGAATACTCTGAAGAGAGCTACTAAACAATTTATTATATTGTTATCTCTCTCTCTTTCTCCTTTATTTTGTCTCTAATTCCTCAGTTAGTCTGAATAGCACCCTAGCAATTTTATTGATATTTTGAAAAATAACCAGCTTTTAGTGTCATTCATTCTCTCTACTGATTTCTTTAGTTTTCAAGTTAATTTATTTGTTGTCTAATACATACTATATTTTCCTTCTGATAACTTTTTTAGTTGCTATTTGAAAGAGTTTTGGCCCAGACAGGACACTGTAGCCAGTAAAGCCTCAGGCGGAATCAAGGAGCTCCATCTTCCCTACCCCTAGGAATTTACCTCTGGTGCCAAACGAGTGAGTGCCAATGGAATACCTGTGAATCACTAATGCCTCTTAGGTTCCACCCCAAACCTAGGCTATTTATATGATCCCACTCCACGTGTTCCACTGAGAGACTGCCAACCACGGGGGGGGGGGGGGCTGCCATGCCCCAGGGGATAGGGGATGTCTCTCCCTGCATTCTCAAAATAAAGGTCATTTATATTTCATACTTCTTATCTTTTCAGCTGCCGCTGGTCCCCCACAGTTCTATCATATGGTTCCCTGACCAGGAATGGCAGATGAGAGATTCCTGGGGCCCTCCCAGTTTGAGCCC